ATGTACGTCAGCAGTTACTTCAAATTGCTAAAATTTGAATAAAATCCCCATTTGACCAATGAATATTGTTGACGTTCATAACAAATGTAAGTACAATCAACACAAAATATTTTCGTGTAAAAAAAGCAGATTATTTGCCATGTGTTTGTATCAGTTTGTACATACTAAAATGATAAGAACTGACGTTTGAATGACAATGACATGAAATAAAATCTTTAGTACAATATTGATATTAAAACTTATTGAACTAAACTCTTTGGATAGTTGTTTCATTAGCAATCGTACCACATCTCGTTATTCTTATATTGATAGATAATTGTTTTGCAAGTCATGTGTTAAAACTGATGCGGAGCTATTGCACAGAAAATTTCTGTTTTGATTTTTTCTAGCATTTGTACCTGGTTCACTATCTTTGTGTAGAGCGAAGCTCTTTTGTATATGAACAAATTTGATTACAATTGACCACTGTTTATTCGTTGTTTATCATCCATGCAGTAAGCAGTAAGCATGTCGTGAATATTACCGTTTGACAACTTAGTACTACGCTGTGATTGGAGATGTATTGGTTTCCGATGAACAATGCCTAGTTCTAGCCTCATTAGCATTACTTCAGAAATACCCTTATACTAAAACTGAAAGATATATTAAATCAGTTTATATAAGTTTTTGAAATGAAGTTTTTAAAATACTATTTTTGAAGAAAATTTCACCAAATTGACATGCATTTTGACGATAAACAAAAATCCGAAAATAATCTTGTTGCCTAAAATGATGTTTGGCAATAGGTTGAATGATCTACATCAAGCTTAATTCCTGGAAATTGCAGGCAATAACTTAATGTTAGGCGTTAGATTATTTCCTATGTTTTTGTTTAATGTCTAATTTCACTTATTGCAGCTAACACATATATATCATACTTGGAAATTGACGTTTAATTGAGTACACAAATTGTGAATTTTATAGAAATAATGTCGTCCCTCCAAATTTATTTCAGAGAAAACCCGTTTTTTTATTTAAACCTGACCTACACATATCATGCATATTATAAAGATAGTTTTAGTCATTCATTTGAAATTGTATATTACGACGAATGTAGTATTTAATGAAAAATAATTATTAAAACTAAATTCTGCAGTAATAAGATAACATGAGTTTTTAGGTAGGACCCAAATGATTTATTCTTACAATATGGTATCCCTGATATCAAATTGGAGGAAAAATTTGTAAATAACTCAAATATTAACAGTGTAAGAAATTAGGTAACGTAAGCTTTACAACTTGATTGGAATATCTGAGTAAATGGAAAGTAATTACAAGTACAATCGTAATGCGTTGCTATTGTGGGTTTTGTTTTAAATTGTTTAAATGGTTTGATTTTTTTATACCTTCTTTAAAGTCTATGTGAAATATCATTTATGCAGAAGAAATTTGTAGATTTTTTAAAACCTATTTTTTAAAATATATGACGGTATTGTCTTGTGTTATCGCTAACTCAAGAATTCATTTCACGCATTTTACGCAATATAAGATTATCAAGGATACAAACTTTTAGTTTTCAAACAAAAGTAAAAATCAAATATTTGTGCCCTATAGAATAATTGTGTCCTTTTGAACGCTGATACCCTGTTAATTATGTATATAAAGTAAAAAAAAACAGTGCATATTGATATTGGTAATATCTTTTCAAGTTTAGACATGGACAGGTAAATAAGGATCAAACTCTTTTTAAATCGTTTAAATGATTAACATATTAATACTTAAAAGTGTTATCAATTAAAAGAAATCGACAATGATCGTAATGGTCTTTACCGAATGGAAAAAAATATTTACCTAAATATACAAAGAATATGTGAAATGATTGCAAATGAGACAACTCTCCACAAGAAACAAGGTCAAGTAAATCGGCCATATCACATATTTTCTAAAAAATGTATATTATACTCTTGTTAGATCAACTTTAATTGAAACAAAAATAATGCATTCATTTCCTTTTTGTTCTGAAATATTACTGATCAAATTCTTTCATTTTTGCATAGAAAATCGGCGTTTCGAAGAACGTTTTTTAATTTCTTTTGAAATCGTCATATTGCCAATTATAAATCCATAGATTTTTCTTACAACAACAATATGTTGTTGTAACAAGAATTTCCGTTTGTGTGGTTAAAAATGATAATAGGTTCACCGACACTGAACTGGCAAACGAGACAGCTATACAGATAGTTAAGACAAATAAAACGGAGCAGATAGCTATTCAGGATTAACAACACGGCAGCTAGAAACGACAAACCGGATAACAATTTATCTGAGAGACACGCTTACTAATAAGACAACTGAAAAGTCATGAACCTGATATACTGGTGAACTAGACAAAGAAAGACAAACTATACGGTAAAACAGACATTAGAGACATGCTTAAAGCAAATATAACGTTATATCAAACAAGACAAATCATATATACAGACAAAAGGCATTCAAATAAAAGGGCAATAGAATGAAGGATGGACTAATGAAAGGGATGTATTGCATTGAGCCTATAACGAGAATACAATAGTTAAAAATTCAGAAAAAAAATATTATACCTAGTTGACTGACATTTCATTGGTAGCAGGTTCACAATTACGATAGTAATAATGAAGCACATTACGTGTTTTGATAACAATATGTGGGACCAAAGATGTTATTTTCTTTTGCTATGCGTGTCTTAATCATCATTCAATTTTCAATTATTGGCCGGTAGAAGATGTATATGTCATGATTATGTGAAAGTTAATGAATACAAATGCTGAGGGATAATATGGATCTCAATACATAATGCGCCTCTGAGTGATAAGACAGTGATAACATGTAAACATAATACATGTAATATTATAACCTAAAACATATGTGCAATTTACAAATTTATAAATAAGACTGAGGTTCGCGTTATTGCCGCCAACAACTAAATGAGTCATTGAATGTTTGCAAAGAACCAAATATTCTGAGAATTTTATTTTGCAAAGCCACATCTAAGAGAGGGCTTTTGTGTTTGCTAAATTAGGAAATGTTGAATATCACGGAACATTTAATTAGTTTTATAATGCACAATATCCCTATCGGGACAGGATATTAACTAACAAAAAAACATATTGAAACTAAATACTATAAAACACAGTTTGTACGTATTTGTTTATATTTCAAACTTACCCAATTTAGCTTTTAAAAATTTCTCTCCTTTAATGAAGTTTTTACACTATATATATTTCACTTTTTGTAACATTCTTTTCTCTTGTGACAGTTTAAATGATTGCTAATGAAAACACTAAATAAATTATACGACGGTCATGGATACACATAAATATTTTGCAAAGAAATTCGGTTGATAGCATGAGGCGTATACTAGGTGGGACTTACGTAACGGGTTTGTGTACATTCATTCATAAAATACCTTTTTCGTTTCAAACTATTTTTGGTACCTGTGCGTTACGGAAATAACGAAATCAAACATATTTATTGCATGATTAAAATTAATTACAAAAGTTTGATCCAGTGGCATTATTCGACTTTGTGTTTAGAAAGAAGAGGTAAGTGAATATTAAACGAAACGGAAATATTATTGTAACTGACAAATGCAGGAATATTCTAAGGAAAAGAACTGTCACGGTGTTGAAATCTTTGTATCTGAACAAAATCATTATTTAATGAGAGAGTTGGAGGATTTGTTAATGTATGTTCCGGTTCAAAAGATACTAAAGGGACATGCAATCTCATAATTCGAAAATAAACTGACAACGCCATGTCAAAAAAGAAAAAGCAATCAGAACCCCACTACAAAACCGATGGTAATCGCATTTGGTCGATAAGAACACTAGTAACTGTTTTCACTACTGAAACGGTCATTTTAAACTGAACAACTCTTAAGAGCCAATCTGCCAGAAAACCATGCAAAACCGTCCGAATGTCACTTTTTCCAAATGAGTTCATATTTGGCATATTGGTGCACCTTAGTAATGTAAATAACCACACAAAATTTTTTTGGGAAAATATTGAACCGATCTGGATATTTTTTGAGCGCCATGTTTTAACAGATGAAATTGCTCGAAAACAGCAAAAATAAGCCTTTTTTGGCATATTTCGCTGGTTTAAATATAAAAATATGGTAACATTTATAATTTTTTGATAGTTGTTCCTAGTAATACATCACTTTAAGTGTAAGAATGCATAGAATTAACAATGCTGTCTATTAAGTGTATGTATAATCTAACTGTTTCAATATGTCTTATTTAGCTACATGTCCAAAATGGCTGATTTTGGTCATCTTTCAGAGCCAAAATACTCCAAGACCCGTTTATTATTGTAAAACAACATATCTACTTGCAAAGTATAACTATATATACCCAATAAAAAAAAATATCAAGCTCGGCAAATAATATTGGTGTCTGGTATATGCCACAACAAAATGGGGTAACCTGCATATTCAAATTTTCTCAATTTTGCCGTCTAATTTGTAACTACTGACATATGATAGGATCTGGACTTATAAATAAGTATAACAACAAATGGAAAAGAATAATTAATGTTTCATTTAATACATTAAGAAAATAATCATACATAAATACAAATTATTCATTATAAATCTAGAGGTTCCCAGGAGCCGAAATAGATCGTATTGACAAATTGTGCACCTAAAACGATAAAAAACACATATTTCAAACGCAATAAATTTAAATTAGAAGTTAAACAATTCAGAATAAGTTCAGACTGTAAAAAAAAAGTTTCTTCTGACCACTTTTGCAATTTATTCTTATAATATATTGATATAGTTGTCAGATAGTAGCAGAACACTGTGAAAATTTGTAAATTTACACATTTCAGGGACAATAGCTCATAGATGTTATGTCCAATTTTTCAGAAAAATTTTGGGTATTTAGATCTTGTCTTGTTGATAGTTTTTATCAATATATATATATATAATATATTGAAAAGTTTTTGAATTTTGTATACATATATATATATGTATGACACTTCTTCTAAAGTTATTAAGATGACGGTTTAAAAGTGAAAACTGTAAACAGATGATTTTAACAGACACTTAGTGATGGAAATTTTTTTATGACCCTTTGAGCCTAGTATGCTAACAAGGCAAGATTTGCCAGGTACCTATATCTATGTTGCTGCAATGTGGTCAATACAAACATGAAAATCATAAATGCTTCTAAAAAAATCCCATAACTAGACGAAAAACAAATTACTTAGTCTATATATACCAGTGCAAAATTTATAAAGAATTTTGAATGAAATTGGATAGCTGTTAAGATTACTGTACCTATAATGCTCTACATCAAATCCTCGGAGATAACAGAATTAAAATAAGTCATATGAATCTTCAAATTTCAATAAAGTTGAATGTGTCTTTTTATACTTGAACGGCTATAGGTTTTACTATAAAAGAAGTGTACATTAACTTTCTTGTAAAAGAAAAACCATAACATTAAAATCTCCATAAATGATGAACTGTTATTTTTTGAGACATCATCCCATGGAAGATTTAACTGATGTTTTAAAGTTGGAAAGTTTCTGTTGCTTGTTTGGTTGGTTGAAATTGTTTCTGTTAGAAGCATTATCAGTCTCCCAATCTGATGTTGACTGCTGTAAAAGTTCAGTTGTTGTTGACACTGACAGAAAGGTTAGCTGCGAGTCTAGATCTGAAAACCACAAAACATACATACATAAATCAGGCTGTTAGTTTTCATATTTTTTCATTTTCTTATTTTGGGGCCTTTTATGGCTGAATATATATGCAGTATAGGTCTTGCTCATTGTTGAAGGCCATATGGCGTATGAAGACCTATAGCTTTACTTCTATGTCATTTGTTCTCATTGGCAATCATACCACATTTTTTTTTAATTTCATATATACCACTGACTGGAAATAAAATTGACAACTTTTACTGTAAGTGGATGCAGTTACAAAATTCTCCCAACTAAAACCAAATCATTTTTGCAGAATAGTTATTATCCACTCCTTTTAAGCATGTCCAAATAGCCCTTAACATCTTTACAACAATAAAAATTGCCTCCATTTGGTTTGGCATGTCAAATTACCTCTCAATATAATTTTACATTGAAAACAGACAATGGTGATAATTTGACCGCTTTTAGTGACAATCTTTGAAATGGTGGCCATCTTTATATCTGTTCTCTGTGTCAAAGTACAGCTAAATACATGTATCAATATTCTTTAAAATCAAACTCAACAAAATTGAAAATTTTACCCTTTATTTGCTGTGTCCATCTTTAAAAAAAAATTTCATTGTTTTGTTGGCATGTCAAAAGTGCTATAATTCCTTAATGTCAATTTTCATATAAGGCCATCTTGAAAATGTTTGCCATTTTGGAAGAAAAAACAACCTTACTTTGTTTAGCAAGTCAAACTAACACGACTATCCCTAATTAACAATTTTCATTAAATTAACCAGTGTTGAAATTTGTGCCATCCTTGGTGGCCATCTTGAAAATGTTTGACATCAGATAATCATCCACATATTGTGCTTTTCTTTTCACTAAAGTTTCATTTAAAAAGATAACACCAGTTATCTCAGAAAAGGAAAAATTTTGTGGAAGATGAAGAAAAAATGCAAGTTTGGACAGAACATTCAAGCTATAACAGCTCTAAATTTGTAATGGCATTAAATATTTGACAAAGAATAGGTTTCTAACACAGAATAAATATGGTATAAAGATAAAGTTTAATAGATTCAGCATATCAGAGAACCCCAAGATCAAATTAAGATTTAAAATTTAGTTTAATTTTGGACCCTTTGGACCTCAATGTAAACCAATTTCATAATAGGGCCCAAAAACTAAATACAGGTTAGATTCAGGCTGAATCAGCATCTTTAAAATTATTGTTGAAATCAAACACAGTTAAATTATGGACCCCATTTGAACCAACTTGAAAACTGGGACCAAAATCATAAATCTAAGTACATATTTATATTCAGGATATTTGATTATTTCTATTTATCATTCAAAGAACCCTAATTCATTGTAATTAGAGTTCAAGTTTTGTTAAAATTAAACTAAGTTAAAATTTGGACCCTTTGGACTTTAAAATGTGGACAAATTTGAAAACCAGACCAAAATTAAAAATCTACATATAAAACATTTGCATTTTGTATATCAAAAGAACCTCAAGAATTCAAGTTGTGTAGAAATAAGAAAACAAATTTTGGACCATTTTGAAATCAATGTGAACCAATTTAAAACAGTCAGGGGCATTACTTAAATAAGTAACAATTAAAATTACCTATACAAGTAATGTTGAAAACGAGGCTATTTTAAATATTACTTATATAAGTAACTTTTCTGAATATTATTTTTATAGGTGTCCAATTATACAGATTTTAGAAGCTTTAACAAATTTTCACAGTCATCTGGTTATTTTTCCCATGAAATATAAAATCTAATCCTTCTGAAACACTAATTAACTTTCTGACGCACTTATCTTTCATACTGACGCTTCTGGGTCAAAGATTGGTCTCATGGGACTATTAAATTATCTTTTTCCTCCAAAATCTTGAAGGTAGACTGATATAAATAGATAGATACTTGTGAATTAATTAAGACTTGAAGTTATTTATAACTTGTAACCAAAATCAATTACATATGTTCCTTCAATAAGTGTTATTACTATTTTTTTCAAAAATGTATAAAATAACTTATTCAAGTAATATTTTTGTCATTATTTTTAAAGTAACCCTTTATCTCTATACTCCTCTCAAATCTAATAAATTCTTTATTTTATGATATAAAATGATGTAAAAATTCATGAAAACTACATTTAGTCTATGCTTCTATTGAAATTTAAAATAACTCTATTAAGTAATTTTATTATTTTTAAAAACAAAAATTACTTATATAAGTAACTTAAAAAAATAACTTGTTTAAGTAACGCCCCTGACTGTTAAAATGGGGCCCAATTGCAACATCTTAAATTATTCAAATACATTGTTAGATTTAGCATATTAAGAACCCAAATAATGTATTTATTTTAATTTGTTCTTGTCCTAAACATGCATGAACTATTTGCCATTGGACATTAGCATTACCAACAACCAATCAATTAATCCAACAGGTGAAATATCTTCAAAAGTACCAATAAAAATCCCCCCCTTTTATATTTGAAAAAGTAAAATCACAAAAAAAACTGAACTCCAAAATTCAAAAAGGAAAGTCCCCAATCAAATGGCAAAATCAAAAGTTCAAACACATCAAACGAATGGATAACAACTGTCATATTCCTGACTTGGTACAGGCATTTTCTTATGTAGAAAATGGTGGATTGAACCTGGTTTTATAGCTAGATAATAAACCTCTCACTTGTATGACAGTCGCATCAAATTCCATTATATTGACAACGATGCGTGAACAAAACAAACAGACACAATAGGTAAAATTGTCAAAAATAGGGGTACAGCAGTCAACATTGTGTTATCATCTTAATCACTATAAAAACAAACAAATGTAACGAAGAAGCACAAAAAGGCATACATCAAATTTAACATCCTCATTTTGCTTATATTATACAATTTTATATATCTATGTAAAATACACCCATAAAGGATGGAAGGTTTTAAGTACTGGCGTAAAATCGCGCGTTTGAAATTCGCACAGGTAGATATAAAATAATTTTGTCTTTCAAAGTATGACGGGATACATAAATACAGAGTCACGTAAAATGGATATCACAAAAAAAAAGACTTAACAGTAAAAGTAATACGTATTTTAAAATGAATAAAATAATTGAAATGGAATGTATGAACAGTTCATTAGTCATTGTTAGTTATTGAATGGAAACTATAGGAGCCGCCCAATATAGTACTACAAATTAAAATTAGCAAAGTGATTTTTCAATGGGAAAACCAAGTTAACAAAGACCAGTTTAATAAAACTGATGTACAAATGTATAACATGTAATTGTATAATTATGTTATTATATAAGTGATTACATATACTTTGTATGATTACCATGTTATACAAACAGTTAAATTAATATATAAGTTAATAATAACTTACCAATATCTTCTTCTATACATGTATTTAGTTTGACCTGGCTATTGGCACTTTTACAAAAAATCATCTTAATTGAGCATTGCTTGCATATATATAGCCCTACAAATAAAAAGTGTTAAACTATAAAATAATTCTTCAATTTTGTTTTACATAAAATAAAATATATCAGACAGGAAATGTAGGGTAGTGTAGCATCACTGTGCATGTAGTTTAAAAGTATGTTTTTTCTTTTAAAAAGGGCTCTATAAGTAATCTACATACATGTACATGTAGGGTCCTAAAATTGAACTTTACAAAAGTTTGCAATGCTTTTGATTTTTTTAGTCTCCTTGGCCTATTAGTTCATTAAAAAAATATTATTCTCTGGATAAAGTTGTCTAGTGTTACATGTACAGTTTGTTGTATGTAAAACATGTATTTGTAGGAGGCTTTTCCACGAGATAAAAGTTTTTTTAGTAGACAAAGAGCTGAACAACTTCCAGTAAGAACTGAAAATATAACTTAGGGGAAGAGAATAAAAACCTGACCTTCTAAACGTTGAATATGTTGAAATAGATTTTGATTATTATCATGATTCTGGTCTATAAATTGATTTTTTAAAGCAGAAAATAAATATATATTTTACCCTGGTTAATAGCTTGAAAACTAAAATTCTGTCCTAAGCTGACAAGGACATAAATATTTTGACCATTCTAACCTCCCCCTTGCTTTTTTAATCAAATGGTCCCAAGACAGAACAATGTATATAGGATATATATATTATTTGCTTGCACTTTGCCATAGGAAATAAATAAGATGTCTTAGAAACAGGTCAGGTGTAAAAGAATATTCACATGCCCCTACAACACCGATCCCCCCCCCCTTTTTTAGCTCACCTGGCCTGAAGGGCCAAGTGAGCTTTTCTCATCACTTGGCGTCCGTCGTCGTCGTCCCTCATCGTTAGCTTTTTACAAAAATCTTCTCCTCTGAAACCACTAGGCCAAATTTAACCAAACTTGGCCACAATCATCATTAGGGTATCTAGTTTAAAAAATGTGTCCGATGACCCTGCCAACCAACCAAGATGACCGCCATGGCTAAAAATAGAACATAGGGGTAAAATGTAGATTTTGGCTTATATCTCTGAAACCAAAGCATTTAGAGGAAATCTGACTTCAGGTAAAACTGATTATCAGGTCAAGATCTATCTGCCTTGAAATTTTCAGACAAATCTGACAACCGGTTGTTGGGTTGCTGCCCCTGAATTGGTATTTTTAAGGAAATTTTGCAGTTTTTGGTTATTATCTTGAATATTATTATAGATAGAGATAAACTGTAAACAGCAATAATGTTCAGCAAAGTAAGATCTACAAATAAGTTGTCAAGACCAAAATTTTCAGTCGACCCCTTTAGGAGTTATTGCCCTTTATAGTCAATTTTTAACAATTTTTTGTAAATTTTTGTAATCTTTTACAAAAATCTTCTTCTCTGAAACTACTGAGACAAATTTTACCATACTTGGCCATAATCATTATTAGGGTATCTAGTTTTAAAAATTTGTCCGATGACCCCGCCTTCCAACCATCATGGCCGACTTGGTTAAAAATAGAACATAGGGGTAAAATGCAGTTTTTGGTTTATATCTCTGAAACTAAAGCATTTAGACCAAATCTGACAGGTGGCAAAAATGTTCATCAGATTTAGATTTATCTGCCCTGAAATTTTCAGACGAATTCGACAACCCGTTGTTGGGTTGCTGCCCCTGAGTTTGTAATTTTACAAAAATTTTGCAGTTTTTTGTTATTATCTTAGATATCATTATAATATTTAATATCTAATACTATTAATTATGATTTTAACCTGATTTTACATGATTTCCAAAGCATCAGTAAATACAGGTGAGCGACACAGGCTCTTGAGAGCCTCTAGTTTAATCTAGCTAATGTATCAATTGTTGGTCCCCTAATTTCAAATTGACTATATCATGTATATGGAACAAATGAAAATTGATTGTAAGATTTGTACCTGTTCCTACTGGAATAACTCGTCCTGTATACAGCCTGATTTGAAAGGGTGAAGATCCTTGGTCAGCTTTGGCTTTGCTGGAAGAGGGTTGGACGAGATGTTGACATCTTGCTTGACTATCATGTCAATGAATTCCATAAAAGTCCCTGTACTTCGAGCATATTCCAAGACAAGATGATGTAACAATCATGGGAAAATAAACCACTCCTTGTCATATATAAAATCAGGAGTCCTGTTGGAAATTCTACACCATAGTTTTCAGTATTATTCAGACTTCCTAAATGTAGATGAATGGTAGTCTGTATCTGTATGAATATGTTTAGTTACCAATGCTGGTTTCAATACCACGGTAGAGAGAGTGTCGTTGATTTATTGATGGTGCGCCAGAGCAGTTTTGACACTCTCAATCTCAATTTTGGTGCGAGCAAGGTGGTTCCACTCGCTCACTTTTTTTTTTACGAAGAATGATTTAGAATACTTTTGTTTTGCTCGTTGAAATCTAAAAACACTTTTTGCTGTTCATGGACTTATTGTTCCAATCAATATTTATCATGTTTATTCACTAAATTATTGTCATGATTGTCAAATTTCTTGGCAGTAATTATTTTTTTTGGAAATGCTATTTTGGTCTTTAGTGCATTCAGATATCTTAAATAGTTTGTAATATGTAGATGTATAAGGCTGGGATAGCCCACATGCTCATCCTAGATTATTAAAGTCACAAACTTCACGGTAAACATTTGTCTGCCAAACCATCACTGGGAGCTGACATATTTGAGATCTTACCCAAGGGAGATAAGTCAATGGAAGAGCATAAAAGATGGACTCCCTGGTTTCACACAATTTATTGATTTTTGGACTTGCAGTACAAATACGTCTTATTTCATTTTTTAGACAAATTGATTTTACTTGTTCGAATGATTTTATGAGCCATTTTAGTACCAATTGTGTTTGGAATTTAATTAAAATCAAAATCAAAATGTGTCAATTTGGGACTAAAATCACCATTCTTCCAAGGCATAAATTAACATATAATAGTCATTTGCCAAGCTTAATATTTTGTTTTGATATAAAACATACCCCATAGTTAAAACCGATATAAGTTGCAAACAAGTCCGGAATGGGTCTTGCAAGATAGAAGCGAACGAAAACCACGTAAATTCATGTATGAAAAACCCCGCCTTTGTGTCCCTGCTCCTGGCAATGTGCCAAATCGTTTAAATTTTCATTTGTATTGATCATAACATAGTAAAATGGATGAGTTTCAACTAACATTACTCTAAAAACTCAACTACCCCATTTAATATGCTTCTGGGTCATTCTTAAAAGGCATAAAAAAGTTGGATTTTTCCTTGGTTTCATTATTAATTTAAAGAATTATGCAAATGAGGCTGTTACTAAAAATAGATACGATTCTGGGAAAAATTAAGTGGTCAAATTCTTTTATTTTATGTCAAGGATTAAGATGATGTATAAAAATTTGTCAAGTTGTGATTGTCGATTCGGACGATTTTGAGAATATTGCATGGTTTTCTGGCGGATTGGCTCTTAAATGCCTGAATTTACCGCAAGGAAAAATGTCAAGATCTCTTTCAGTTATTCACTACGTGTTCAGTACGCTGACCCGCGCAGTAGATTCAGTAAAGTGCAGTACTGGTTCAGGTAAATAAGTGAAAACGCCTTGCATTTGATTCAGTAGCGTCAAGAACGTTTTCGTACAAATCAGTACATCGATAAAATAGTTGTTTGTGAATTTTCAGTAGTGTTCAGTCCAAGGGAAATCTATCAATTTTGACATAAAATAGTTTGTGCAGATTTATATGGCTTGTCTCCCTTTATTCGAGCTTGTACTATAATTTTCAGTACATTGATCGATTTCTCAATGATATTGATTTCTTTCCGTGAAAAATACTTCTGCTTTGTTCAATTGTCCAAAATGAAATATGTTTGAAAGTTAAATAATTATAAATTACAATGAAAATGAAATTTGTTGTCAGAATTGCGTACAAATTGTTACCTAGCTTTAACGACGGAAACGGCTATTGACAAAATGCAAACATGTAAACTGACAATCCCCGCTTTCAGTAAAATTCGGGTTCTACAATTTTATGACTTCATATATTTTGCTGAATAAATCACAAATGTCAAATATATTTTGTTACTGTAAATACCAATGTTCTCTGTGACTATAACACGTAGATTTATGAGAATAAAGTTCATTCATTCACTTTGCAATTTATATTTGTTTTATGTTTATTCGAATACATAATCATTCAATATATAAACCTGTTAAATGTGACACATTAAATCAGTCCCATTATTAATATTACAAATACGTCATAAAGAATAGAGAATAATTATAGGCAAAAAGTATTAAGAATAGAAAAAAAAACGACTTAAGAGATTAAAGAATACAGACTGAATGAAGGACCCCCATCCACACCCCCCACCCCCATCCAGATACTAGACCCTCATGTAAAACCGATTTGTGAACTAATCTATATAGCTGTGACACATTCATATGTAAACTTCTATGTCATTTGGTCTCTGGTGGAGAGTTACTTCATTGGCAATCATACCACATATTTCTATTTATATATATAACATTTCAAATAGTTCAGAACATGTCTATACAGTGTCTCATAAGTCAACTTTTGCTCGGAATTGGTCTTTTTTTACTGTGCGGTGTATACCGGTATTATATGTATTATACTTTGCATGCAACCAGCTATAGGATTGAATCCGATATAAATCCTTTTAACGATAGTAAAACACACTAATAGTAAAATCAGTTGAGGGTCCAGAGGGCGTAGAGGGCCTTTGATGCTAATAAAATCTCATGTTTCTCACAATTTATATAATACAATCTTTATTCTCATAAACCATAAGTTACAACGGTACAGAAATATACATACATATAGCGAAGAAAACAAACTCATTTATAATAACATCATACACACAAACATACACACAAGCATACACCAATTATAAGTAAATACCCACATACACATATATCATTATGTACAATATATACAAAATGGAGGTTATGTTATAATACGTTGTAGCATAACATCGTCCAACCAAATACCAAATACGTTCTCTGAAATTAAGCCCCCAGTCCCCTTTTCAAAAATCCTGGATCCGCCGCTGAAAATAAATTAGTATGATTATTCCTAAGTATTACATGCATGTAAGTTTATTTACTCGACCCCAAGATAAATAAAAGAATCAATAGATATACACATTTCTTCAGAAATAGTTTATTTTCTCGTTTATACTACAAGTTCTTGAAAGACGTGTAGGCATTAAAGTTTTGTTATTTGCTTGTCGGTGGACAAACGTATTGGTCTCAATGGCATCATACCACATCTTCTTATTTATAAATTGAATAATTCTGTCAGTGGCCATTTATAATGTATACCAATATTTATCAAATAATATGTCTGTATACGTAAACCAAATATCAGTTATCCTTACTGTATACACCAGACAGTCTGAAATATTTAATATTGCACACTTTTGTTTCAAGCTTTTTGTTTATTTTCTCCTTTATTGTGTTTGATTTGTTATTTTAAGTGAAAATTTATTATTTTGAGGATTTATTTGGAAGTTATTTTGTTCAAATAAATGAACGAATGTCAAGTATTTATTTTTTTTATTCAGCAATTAAACTTCATCTAAAATAATGCTTTTTATCCCGACAGTCACTGCAAAACCAACCCGACAATTATGAATGTAAGAATATATTGTTTGTGTGTACATCAATAAGACAGCAACCCTACGACAACAATATCTAGAAGAAATTTTATTACCAACACAAGTCTTTAACAGTAGACAGGTGAACCCATAAATTGTATAACAATTGAGAATTAATGAAACAGAAACAATCAAAGATCTGCCATCAACACCCATTTCATTTTTTTACAAAAATTCGTATTGAACATGCATGTAGTACTTGTCACTGGACGTTAAGCAATTATCAATCTATCATTTTCCTGAAATTAAATTATGTTTTGAAGCTCAAAGTAAATACATATTTATATATTGAAGCTGTGATAATGTGATTTTTTTAAGAGTAAAAGATTTTTTTAAAAATTGATTAAATTTCCATTGAAAAATATTTGAAAAGAAAACGCTTATTAGGAATCTCTAACTCCCGAGTACAACATATTCGCGCATCATAGGCTGTGTTTATGTGAATTAATTTAAGAAATGAGTGTCTAAAAAAGTGTAACCTCGGGGTGGCCAGGATAAATTCAATTTGGCAAAAAACTATAAGATCAGCCGTCTATGGAGAATGCAGCCATTAAGCCATTACTGTGAACGTATATGCAAATCTTCCATACATGTAGGTTTACATACAAGTTATTATATGATCTAATTTTATATAATCTTAACGAAAATCCTATGTCTGAAACTTATGAGTATTTCTTGCAATGTGTATTTTTGACAAATAGTTGGTAAATCAAGCACAGAAAGCTTAACATGACTTGTGTTGTATAGAAAAATTAGAAACATACATACCCCTGTAGATCTACAAATAAAGTTATTGGATGCATTACAGTCGTTCTATAGTTAGTGTGACAAGTCTTGCTACTAGTCGTATAGAAAGATAACAAACAAAACCACTGGACTGATAATTGACTATAATTTACTTTTGTTAGTTAATCTATTCTTTACAAGTTCGTTTAGTAACGCTTCATGTACCACAAGATTACCTTGTTTGGTTTACTTATCCAATCAACACCTGATTGCCGTTTAGAAAAATGACAAACAATACACCTAGCGTGATGATAACGAGAGACTGAAAAAAGAGGCCCGCCTAACGATTTACCTTCGCTCACCTCTCTTGTTGCTACTACATTTCAGTTAAGTCATGATGCATAACTGTACAGAGTTTTACAGTCATTATTTTCACTTGATTAAAAATATTTAGCCTTGTAGTTTCAGACAGAAAAGAAAATTGAAAATTGACGAATTCATAATCAAGAATTGACTCCCAGATGAATTGATACTTAAGTAACGCATATGTCTCGCATCCAGCTACACACACCAAAAATTTCACAGCATCGGAAAAAAATGATAAAAGCTTACTTATTATACTAATATTTTAATTTACAAATGCAATGTAGCCACATCCACGAAACATTGACAGTGTTTTTAAGAGGTTATAGTATTTAGACCATCGCATATAGCTATTTCTGTGAAATCTGAAACAAACCTTGTGTGGCGTCGTAAAAAAATTAAATATTGTACCGCTTGTTTTATATCGCTGGAACTCTTTATTCTCTCAGGTCCAGAACGGATTTTCACAGGCGGTAAATTCCCGTCAATTCGGTACTTCTGAACAACTTTTTCTACAGTATTGTTCGAAATTTCACAATGTCTTCTTATTTGTGAATAAGAGAACCTCCCTGTTTTGTAAAGTCTTATCACTTTTTCTTTTAACTCGATATAAGTGGGAATTCCTGGTTTGTATTTTCTTCCTTACTTATTTTCCTTGTCTGTCATTTTAATTTCTTTTACCTGATACTGTACAGTAACGGTAAATGTGTATAGTTCTAATTATATGTCAACATGAAATAAACTCACTAAAACAATTTACTCACCTGTTTTGCTTTTCTTGTTTACAACTTTGTTCTGTGTTACTTGATAAAAATGTATGATATGACAGTCATGGAATTTCTATATCATATTGGTCCTGAAGTTGCAAGATTTGCTGACCATTTTATCCGACATGAATTCACAAATGTAGCTTCGCTACGGAGTTTAAAAATTCCAGATGACTTTAATTATATATTTGGAAATGATACCAGCAAGTTCTGACGA